CCTAGTGATGACCATAAATGGGCTGCTTTTCTGATGTTTCCAAACATATTTCTTGTTTGCTTTATTGGAAGTTTTGTTTTCTGTTGCATAATAAATAAGTCTATGGAAGAAACTTACCAATCATATAGTACTTGACTAGAACACAAAGCCCCTGAATGAAATTTTGCTGTTTTACAAAATTCCAAATAAAAAGCTAAGTATATAAAATATTAGATTCACTATAGTATTATGAAATTATTATATGTAGTCAGTTAATACACTGACACTATTTTTGGAACAAGGATTTTGCAGACCTCTTAAATCTTCTGAAACCATTGCTCAGTGCATTATCACTGTTGATAGGTAAAAGGGTAAGAGAATTGATACTCATCCTGATTTTTTTCTGTATGCTGTCCATTTTTGCTGAACTGATCAGCTATAACTAGTTTTATAAGTCTGCTAGGTAAATTCAGCAGGTTCTAGTTCACCAATGTTTATTAGTCCATTTGGTCTTGCATAGTAACACAAAACTCTTGGAGTTTCTGCTTAAAGGACACAGAATCTGTACAATTCATAAATTAGCTCCTACTAGAATAAACTGATATAACCAAAAGCAAGCTGCCGTTTTACAAGCTTGCTATAAAACATGGAGCACTCCTTTTGTTTTTGATCATCATATTATTCCCCCCCCCCCCCCCCCCAATTCTACTTCTGTAAAGTAGAATTCTACATAGCTCTAACGGTTACAACATCCTCTCCCTTTTATTCTCTTGAAAAAGTTTTCAGATGTTGGTGAAACATCATTGGATGTTATAACTTAGTTCTTGCAGATATCAGTGTCCTATCTAGTTCAGGGGTGTTAAACTCAAGGCCCAGGGGCCAAATCTGGCCCGCAGGGTGCTTAAATCTGGCCCACAGGGCCACCCTAAAAATAGCGAAGGACTGGCCCGTAGTGCCTCTGCCAGCAAAAACAGAGCTTGGGAGGGCCACAAGCGGCCCTCTCGAGATAGGCTGTCGCAGCCTCCCAAGCTCCGTTTTCACAGGCAGAGTGCTCGGGCCATCACAGGTGCCCCCGACACAAGTGACATCGAGCTGGCCACACTCACACGGCCCCCAAAGTCAAACACAACCCCGATGCAGCCCTCAAAATCGAGTTTAACACCCCTGATCTAGTTATTTTTCCCAATTTGAAATACATGCCTACCGGTAGTTGAGAATAGCAAGGACCATTTAGTATTTATGACGCTTGTCATCAAAAGCCTAATTGTGTTTCCTGTATGCCTTGTCGTTCAGGTGATGATTCTGATCACAGGAGCCCATAAAGCATTTGCATTATACAAAGCAATTGAAGAAGGGGTGAACCACATGTGGACTGTTTCCGCATTTCAGCAACATCCACAAACCATCTTTATATGCGATGATGATGCTACTCTGGAACTTAAAGTAAAAACTGTGAAGTATTTTCAAGGTAAATTGTTGTTCAAATCTGAGAAATAGTCTATAAATGTCTAGAATATAAAATGGCATTAATGCAGCAGTAACGTTTAGCAATTCACCTCTACAAATCAATGCTGCAAAAATCCTCCATGAAGCTCTTTTGGCCACAGTTAAAATGTTGTATCAAGGAGCTGCAAATACGATTTGGGACTGTCATGCTTTAAATACAAGGAGTACCTTGGGAGATTTTGACTTGTAAGACAAACTTGTCTTATTGGTTTTTCCACTATTTCTTAGCATTTTCTTATTGAAGAGCTTCTCACAAGTCTGTAAGTGCTTTTGGCTTATTTAGATTAACATTTTCAGTATTGCCCTTCCGTCTTATGCTTTTCGGAAATTGGATTCTTCATTTTTTCAACCTGCTCATTTTTGCCATTTTAAGTGAAATGTTTGTATCTTTTACCCACCCACACCCATCAAGCATGTCTTCTCTTTAAACTTTCTTGAGCCAGAATCCAATTGAAAGGAAGCTTTAAATAGATAAAGGGGTATGTAAAAACATCACCAAGGATCTACTGTAAGTCATTAAATGCATAATAAAAGAACAAAAGGCTATTTGTGTCTCTAGTGGTGTATAACAAGTACAGATGTTGGTGAAAGTTACACCGAACCACCACAATTATTATCTTGGTGTTCACCAACAATGAATAACTAAATATCTGCAGGAAGTTACAAACAGGTATGATGGTACCAGCTGGCTTCACATATCATGTTAAGGCACTGCTTTTCTTAGCCAGCACATTAACAATCATCTTTACTGTTACTGAAGGAGCTTGCAAGTGGCTGTTTATAAAAATGTTTAGTCTCCTCAATCATTGTCAGCCTTGAAACTGAAGTTCAAAACACTATTGTCTTCCATTTTCACTTCATTTCCTATTAGCAATGGGATATATACATATATATATAGGGAGTTGTTGAACTTGACCCTATCCAGCCCTAATCGCACATCTTATCCATTCCTCCACATTGGTGCTTTATCTTAGAATATAAGGATTGCATTTTCCTGTTCCTAGACACAACATTCAAAAATATTAAGAGGAAAAGAATTAAAAAGAGAGGATGTTGGAGTGATGCCTGTCTGCATCCAGAAAGAAAACAGTCATCCTTTCGTATCAAACAGAATCAGCATTGGGACACATAAAGCAAAGGCAGACGCCAAGCCTCTCCCTTTCCAGAATGAAGAAAAGCTAACTTAAAAAATAAATAAAATAAAACTCAGAACATTGGATAAATGGAGAAACTGCTGTGCCTGGTGCTACTTTTGAAGAAACAAAGTTTTGCTTTTACTAATTTAAGTCAAAAATAAAAGGGGATGAAAGTGAGCAATAAAAAAAAGTAAAAAAAGAATGCATATTTACAGACACATACCTATATCCTCTGAAATTCAGGCTATATCTTAAAAATAGATACAGGCAAAAGCTTGTTAAAAAAAATTTTTTTTTAGCTCTCTGTGCTTCAGTCCAATATTTCTTGTATCTTTGTACAGGCTCCATGACTGTATGTACTTCATTTTGTATGCATATTTCAATACATATTTTTTTCTAATCTGACATTTTTTTTCATGAGGAATTTTTGATGCTTGATAAATCTTGAAGCCTGTGGACTCTGCAATAGATAAAGTGCTGTTTTGTGGTTTTCTGAATTGGTTTCATATTTATAAGGTTAATATTCTAACCTTGAAGGTGATTTTATATTGGAGAGGTTGTTTAACAAAGTTTTATTTTTCTGTATCTCATTAGATTGTCCTACGTTTGATATTTCTAATCACGTCTCTGGTTTCTATAATGGTGCTTGCTGTAGCAATGCTTTATTTCATTTTTATATACCAGAAATACAGCCAACTGTGGGAATCCCTCCTCCCAGTACACACTTTCATATATACACAAAGTTAAGAGTAGGATACCAGGTTGGATATCTTCTTGGAAGATGGGTGGTGGTAGTAGGTACTATCAAGTTGCTAGTGATACCAAATACATTAGGCAGGGCAGTATAGGGACCCAGAGGGAGAAAAGTTTGAGGTCTTCAGTTCACTGCCCCACAGATTCAAATATACTTGGTACAAGTGTAAGTTATTACTTGATAAAATATGACATCTATGTAAGAATTGAACTATTTTTGTTTCTTTTAACCAGGGTTGATGCTTGTTCATAACAAACTAGTGGAACCGCTCTACAGCATGAAAGAAGTTGGACCAGAAAGTCAATCTGAAAAAGCCTACAGTGACTAGCCTCTCTGAGCAGCTGGCTAAATAGATCTTTCTGGTACCACAACAAGAAGTTGGTGGAGAGCAGTCTTTCAATATACAAAATACAGTATTGGACTCAATTATTGAAAAACATCTTTTTTTCCACCAGTTGCAAGAGTAGGAGTGGATACAACTGCATCACGCAATTTCAAGTAACTCAGGACTAATTACACATCAATTTCCTACCATCTTAAAAAAATGTAGAGCAAATGAGATAACAGCAACCTCATTTTCTTTAAAGAAAAAATAGTTTTAAGAGTTTCTGGGATGGGAATGTTAACATTAGAATTGTAATTATGTGTAGGAAAAAAATCTGCAGGCTGTGAACTTCTCATTAAACACATCAATGTTTATGAACAATTTGGGATATATTTATTTTGTTAAGAACTGGAAACAAGACTTGGAAAGTAGCCTTTTCAGAAACGGGGGTGGGTGCGGGGGGGGGGGGGCAAACAAACGAAAAGCACTCTTTCAGACAATCTACTGCACCTCAACTCTTAATGCAGAAATATCAGACTTTTCTAAAGTGGAACAATTATGTAATGTGGGGAAGCATCCACTCTTGGTTCCTGTTTTTTATTATTACCCAAGTTATCTTTTCCTAATCTGATTGAGTTTTTGCTAGGAATTCTGTGAATTATAATTCAATCTGGAAGATGTTAAAGTGGGAACCTTCTAAGGGTGCTGGAAAACATACTGCCCTCTTCCTTCTCTGTTCTCTAAGTGGCCAGCAGAAGGGTTCTTGGCATTTGTGCCTGCCTTAGAAAAAAATTCATTTGCTTCCAGTTTGTAGTAGAAGTTGAACTGCTAACTTTTAGCTATAAAAACTCAAAAGTTGGTAGGAATCTTTTTATTTCCAACTTCTATATATAACCATAGAGTTCGTGCTTAACACATTGCAGATAGGAAGAGCAGACAACTTCATGTCATCTTGGCCTAAAAGTATTTCTTTCTGATCTCTTCTGGACAAGCATTTATTTATTTTTTTTGCAAATTTGAATGAAGCAAACAACTTATCAACCAGAGAGATAATCAAACAATGGATCTTTCTATGGACTGACCTGCCAACAGGCTCCAGCAGTAGTTTATTTTGTGAAAGCTGAAGGATACATACAAAATGACTGTTACGGCTAAAGGCAGCCATTTGCAAATATCTGTTTTTCAGGCAAACTAATTAAGATCAGAAGACCAGAAATTTGCCCACAAATCCAATAGGGTGTTGTAGAAACCTCAAAGTACAGGTCTATTATTTGAATCTACAGTCTTCTTTTGTATTGAACCTTGCCTTTTAAAGTCCATTTTCTATCCATGTCATGATAAGTAGTATCCAAGAAACTCTCAGGCAGCATCATTATCCATGTTAACAGGATAAAGTGTTAAGAATTGCAGGACCTGAAGAAATCACACGTTTTTACCCTTATTCCTTGTTCCTAGGACAAGGACAGCAAACAATTGCTTACATTCCACTATTGTTCTTGGAACAGGTTTTAGTGATAATAGCGCTAACTAAAAAGAGAAGCACATTGTGAAATTTTAATGTGCTTGATTAAATGTTCAGTGCTTTTGAAAATTAAAAGACAACATCCATGAAATTAATGGTAGCAAACAAAAGCAGTTTTCTACACATTCTGAGCTGATTTCTGTGTCTCATCTATCGATAATCAAAGTAACTTGAACATGCATTGAACATCTTCATTTCTTTAGCGTTTGATTCTGATTAAAAAATCATTTCTCTTCATTCCAAAATTAATCCTCAATTTCCATAGCTTGAAACAGCCTGAAAGAAAAGAAAATTGAATTTTAAACAAGAAAAAGTGCGTTGGTACTTACCTGATACGCCCGTTCTCTGTGAGCTGTTCAGAGCATCCAGAAGTGGGAGGTGCTTCAGTCTCTTCTGGAAAGGCTGGGCTTAAAACTCCGGGACGCTCCTCCTCCTCCACGGGACACCTCCCCAGCGTCCCCCAGTTTTGCGAAGACTGAGTGCCAAAGTCCGGGACTCATCACCTAATCTAGATCCCTGACCGGAACAGAACCCCACCAGACGGAAAGAAATGGGTGGGGCTGGATGCTCTTCACAGCTCACAGAGAATGGGCGTAGCAGGTAAGTACCAACACCCTTTCTCCCATGAGCTGTTCAGAGCATCCAGAAGTGGGACATACCAAAGCTTGGCCTGTCCTTAGGGAGGGACTCCGTCTGGATTGAAATCCACTCCTAAACTCTATGGACCCTCTGCAGGACTCTTCTGCCAAATGAAGCGTCCGCTGAGGCGTAGACATCAATTTTATAATTTCTGACAAAGGGTGATGGTGAAGCCCAAATCGCCGCTCTGCAGATTTCATCTATGGAAGCCCGAGTGGCCCATGCTGCTGATGTTTCCGCACTCCTTGTCGAGTGGGCTGTAATGCCCTTAGGAACTGAGATGGACTGGCATTCGTAACTTTTAGCTATGGTGGCTCTCAACCATCTACCAATGGTTGTTGACGACACCCTGTGTCCTAAAGTGGATGGGTTGAAGGAATAGAGCCTCAGATTTTTGAAATGCCGCCCTGCGGTCTAGATAGATGCTTAACGCCCTTCGAACGTCAAGTCGATGCCATTGATGCTCCAGTCTATGAGATGGTTTCGGACAAAAATTTGGAAGCACCAACCCCTGCGCTCTGTGGAAGACTGAATTTACTTTAGGGATGAATGATGGATCCAATCTGAGAACCACTCTGTCCGCATGAAACACGCACAGGTCCTTTCTCATCGACAATGCTGCCAACTTGGAAATCCTCCTTGCTGATGTGATCGCAATTAAGAAGACCACCTTATATGTCAGGAATTTGAGACTAGCGGTTCTTAAAGGCTCGAATGGGCCAGTTGTAAGTGCGGTTAACACCTTGTTGAGCTCCCAAGTGGGATAGCAGTGAATTACAGGAGGTTGTAAGTTTGCAGCACCCTTAAGAAAGCTGCGGATATGTGGATGGTGCGCTATGGAACGAAGGTCACCCCAGGATATCACCGAGGCTAAGGCCGTCACCTGTCTGCGTAAAGTATTTGGAGATAGGCCCTTGGTCAACCCCTCCTGTAAAAAGTCCAATAATTGTCCTATTGATGGGGCAGTTGGGTTGATCTTAGACCCCTGGCACCAGAGACAGAAAGCGGACCACGTGGCCTCGTATATACGATTTGTAGAGGACCATCTGGATGCTTGTATGGTGGCAATGGCATCCTCTGAAATCTGTTAGGTCCTTAAACGGTTCCGCTCAACCTCCATACGGCTAGGCTAAGCCATTGTGGGTCCGGGTGAAGTACCGGCCCTTGCAAGAGGGAAACCCTCGACGGTGGAATTTTCCAAGGTTGTCCTCTTGACAGGTCCTGTATGTCCGCGAACCACGTTCGCCTGGGCCAGTAAGGGGCGACCAATATCAGTTCCGCTCGTTCCTGCAATAACTTCTGGATCAACCTGGGTATTACAGGGAGTGGAGGAAACGCATATAGAACCCCGGGAGGCCACTGACATCGCAGAGCATTGACAGCCTCCGCCCCCTGAGTTGGGTACCTTGAAATATACCGGGGCAATTCGGCATTGAGGGGAGAGGCAAATAGATCGATCACCAGTTGCCCAAACCTCCGCACTGCTTCCTGGAAGAGAGACGGGTGTAAGCGCCACTCTGCCTGATCTATCGAGGCCCTGCTGAGCCAGTCCGCTTGTGTGTTTAAGGCCCCTGCTATGTGCTCTGCCTTGAGCGACAACAGATTGGCCTCAGCCCCCTTGAACAACCTTGCTGTCTCCAGCATCAGAAGTTTGGAGTGGGTACCCCCCTGTCTGTTTACGTGGGCCTTGGTTGTGATATTGTCTGTCAAGACCAGAACGTGGCGTGATTGGAAAAGGGATAGAAAACTGCGTAACGCCAGATGAACTGCTCGCAGGTCCAACAGGTTGATGCTTTGTGATTGTTCAGAAATAGTCCAAATTCCCTGTGCAGTGTGGGATTGGAAGTGAGCTCCCCATCCTACCAGGCTGGCGTCGGTTGTGATCGTTGCCCTGCAAGGTTCCTTGAAAGGACACCCCTTGTTTATCGTGTTTTCTGACCACCAGCGGAGCGATCAGAGAACATTGTGCGGTACCCTTATCCAGACGTTGGAAGTGGCTCTTCCGGATTGCTGGAAAGGTAGCAGGAACCATTGCAGATCTCTAGAATGGAATCGAGCCCAAGGCACAATGGAAATACAAGAAATCAGTTTCCCTAACAGTTGAGACAGAACTGCCAGGGAAACCCTCTTTAAGGCTCTGATCTCTCTGGCCAAAGACTGGATACTATTCAACCTGTCCTGAGAGAGAAAAACCTTGCCCTCCACGGTATCTATCACTGCCCCTAAATGAACTTACCTAGTTGAAGGGATCAAATGGCTTTTATCCCAATATATGGAAAAGCCATGACCTTGAAGGGTCTCCAGAGTAATCTTGGTATCCAAATTTGCTTGATGTCTGGAAGATGACAAAATTAAAATATCATCCAGATAACATTGTAAACAAATAGATTTGATCCTGAGGGAGGCAGCCAAAGCCGCTAGGACCTTGGTAAAAGTCCTAGGGGCCGAAGCCAGACCGAATGGTAGGGTGACATATTCGCAGTGCTGATCACAATAGCAAAGTCAAAGGTATTTGTAGTGAGCAGGTCTAATTGGTATGTGTAGATAAGCCTCGGTCAGATCTATAGAGGTCAGGACATCGTTCTCTCTGATGCTGAGCAGAATGGACTGGAGAGTAGTCATTTTGAATTTTTGATAAACCAATGATCTGTTCAGACGTTTGAGGTCCAGAATTGTCCTCCAGCCCCCCGAACTCTTTGGGACCACAAACAATAGAGAGTAACAGCCTTGACCCCGTTGTTCAGATGGGACTTCTCTAATGGCCCGAATATGCAGAAGATGATTGATAGCCTCCTGCATCAACGCTCTTTTAATGGGGTCCATGGACCTCAGGCTCCTAATGAAAAAGTTTGGAGGGGAGGATTGAAACTCTAGTGCCAAACCAAACCTAACAGAGTCCCTGACCCACGCATCAGAGGTGGAGCTGTCCCATTGATCAGCAAACAATTTTAGCCACCCTCCAATGGGAGCTGCTGTCAAGGACTCACTTGGGGAGATGAAAAAATCGGCCTCCGGTACCTCTGGGGTTTCTTCTGTTTTGGACTCCCCGCTGACCTCTGTCGGAAGATTCCGATCTATCCTGTCTAAAACTGGGTCTGTAGCCTGATGTTCTTTGCGATCTGGGAACATACGGGCCTTGATAGTCAGTCCGAAAGGAACCCCTTCGAAATGACTGGGGCGTTCTGTTTTCAGACCTCAAAAAAAGGTGAAGCACTTTTTTTTTGTTTCTATTCTCAATAAGCAGGGGCTCCAAGACACTGCCAAATAATTTATCCCCCGATATTGGGGCTGATGCCAGTTTGCATTTATGCTTGGTATCCACCTGCCAGTGTCTGAGCCATAGCAGTCTCCGTGCTGATACATGAGATGCTATGGCTCTATACAAGAATTTGACTGCATTAAATGGCGTCAGCGGAGAATTCTGCCGCTGCAATAATCTTAGCAATGTCCTGGTGGGCTCTGACATTTGACGCCGGCAATATATCCCTCAAGTGGAAGAGCCATCATAGGGAGGACCGTGTAAAAAAGGACGCAGCTGTAGCTGCCCTAATGGCCCAGCTGTCAGAAACATGCGCCCTACGGAGTACCAACTCTGCTCTCTTTTCTTCCGGTCTCAGAGCTTCCTCGCCTCGTTGGGAAAGGTTGAAGAAGAGGCCAGTGCCACAATGGGCTCATCCACCTCCGACGTTTTGAGAAAATTTGAAAACTCTGGTGCCAAATTATAATATCATTTATCGTACCCTGTTGGGGCTGGGTAGGATGCTGCTGATGCCCACTGATTTTGTACTAATTCAGCAAACATACGAGGGACAGGAATAGTTTCTGCCTCATTAGCCGGTTGTGAGAATATTAGATCCTCGGATTCATCCTGAGACCCTGTTGACAATGGATGAGGGCTTGATGTGCCTAGTTTAGTGGTGTTCTTTGCTTTGAACAGTAAAGATTTAAAGAGGTGCGGACGAAAAAGGCCAGAAAAGGTAGGTTGGTCCAGAATGAGGCCTTCGTCATCCGACATTCCTCGTTCTAGTGGGTCAGCCTCTGACAACCCTAAGTCCATCTGATGGATTGACCCCACCTCCATGGGAACATCCTGGTCATCTAATTCCACCTCCTCCCGAAGACCCTGGGCTGGTATGTCAGGGATATTGGGGAATACCTGAGTTTCCCATATGCGCAAAGGATCGAACAGACAGGGATCCCGCTTCCGAAGTAGCCGAAAAGTGTTTGGTCCGGATGGATTGCTGAACTCCAGCCGCAATGCCCTTTTGTATGGCTATCTCCATCCATTGCCTCATTTCGATGGGAATAGTCTCAGGTAATCCCTCCTCCTGTCTTAAACCAGCGGCCGTAGGGGTGAAGGTTGCCTCTGGGATTCGCCGGGCAGTGCTCATTGGAGGAGATATGCCTATGGGAGGCTGTCCAGAAATAGCCTGTCTGGGCTGGGTGGATAAGTCCAAGGGCCCCAACAATGTACTTGGGCCCTGATCCGATTGTTGTGTCATAGCCATCTTGTCCGCCTCCCTGGCCCGTTTCTGCCACTGCCTTTCCAAGGCTTGGTGCCATCTATGGGAAATCCTTATCCGCTGCCGTAGAGGCCTTTTTGGGGCCCACTGACTTATCTCAGGACTTATTTGTCTTGGAGTGGAAGACGATGTCACCTTCCATTGTGGAGGGCTGAATCTCGTGTCTCTAACTTTAATTTTTTTATATTATTATTATTATTATTATTATTATTATTATTATTATTATTATTATTATTATTTGTACTTAGGGGTGGTGCCTACCCCTGTGGTTGAAAGTAGGGTGCTTCTCCAAGAGTATAAATATAAATATAAATATAAATATAAATATAAATAATATAAATATAAATATAAATATAAATAAATAAATTATATATATATATATATATATATATATATATATACATACATACATACATACACATATATATACACACACACACAAACACACATATATATACATATGCCTATATCTATATGTAAGCCCGTATATATGGGAAACAGTATCTAAGGGTCCCCAGGAAGGGAAACCCCCCCAAGTGCTCCAAGCAAGAAATATTCAGGATCCCTGGTCCCCAACAAGAGAAACCAGCTAGACAGGTCCTGGATGGATCCTTTCCTGTCAAAAACGTCCCACTGTTTGAAATGGCACTTGAGGCTTCGCTCCAATGTAACGATCCAAAAGCAATTCCTGTTTAAGGACTAGCCTGCTTATCCAACGCCAGCAGGCTAAGAGAGAAATAATCCCAGGAAAGTGGAGTGGGAAAGTACTTGCCCCAGTCCCCAAGAAGGGAAACCAGCGGGGAATGGCGCCTGTAATATTTTGGCGTGAACTTGGAGCCATCCGTTTAAAAAGGCGGGAAGGCAGAAACTCCGAAGTTAAATGCCTGAGCAGTTTAACAAGCCGCTGCTGCTGACTCTCCAAAATGTCAGACAAATGATCCTGTAAGGAGAAGTGAGCTGCAGCTGCGAGCATTCCGGCAAGATCGCAAAGATAAGACGATCGGGGAATTAGATAGGCTAATTGCCTGAAGCGGCCGTCTCAGACTGCCTGCGAAGTGGCAGGCTCCGCCAGTCATAAAGAACTGCTCTCAACTGATCGGGGTGATAACCTAATAAAGTCACAAGCCTTGAAATCGCCAGATTAATAGGGGGGAAAAATTGCAAGCTGAATTAACCCAAGAGCAAACCTGAATCTTGACTAGCTGAATCAGAAACCGTTCTAGTCAGGGAGTGCACAACCTCTTACTACAAAGGCTGAGCTAAAACTGGGGGACACTGAGGAGATGTCCCATGGAGGAGGAGGAGCGTCCCGGAATTTTAAGCCCAGCCTTTCCAGAAGAGACTGAAGTACCTCCCACTTCTGGATGCTCTGAACCGCTCATGGGAGAATATTTTACCAACATGGTAACAACTCACACGTATATTTCTGTAAAAAGCCCCTGTCCAAAAGAGTAGCAGAATCATACAGCAAAACTAAGAAAGTTTGTTTTCAAAACTGGATTTTTTCACAATTATGCAGATTTGCACTGTTATCTTATTTGTAATATCAGAAATTAATGAACATGCTATGTTTTAAGAGAGTATTCCTCTCTACTTTACTTTCAGTAAAGAGAAGAACCAACTTAATAGTACTCAGGCCATGATTTATCAAAAAAATGTTAATATTAAAAGATCTGAAATAGTGCATTCAAACTGACTTCTCAAGACTTAAACACTGTTTCTACATACACTTAAGTGTACTTTTATTGTTTATAATAGCAGAGACATTTTTGGGGATTTGTTCCAGAAAAAAAAATGCTTCTCTTTTAAGTAATGTAAAATATACTTTGTATTGTTATTTTCAAGTAAGCACTGATATCTTTTGCATTGCATTTTACTTCTGATACAATTATTTATAAACTAAAACACAAAATGTAATCATAACAAGAGGTAATTTATGGCTCTAGGGAAACTTGGAATAATTATGATTTCTAGCAGTAGCTAATGTAAACATCTGCCACATCCTCCCGTATTCATTAATTCCATATTAGCCAGCACTTCTC